AAACCTTCCAACCTGAGCCGTCCAACCTGAGCCGTCCAACCTGACCTGTCCAACCTGAGCCGTGCAACCTGAGCCATCCAAACTGACCTGTCCACCCTGAGCTGTCCAACCTGACCCGTCCAACCTGACCCGTCCAACCTGACCCGTCCAACCTGAGCCGTCCAACCTGAGCCGTCCAACCTGACCTGTCCAACCTGAGCCGTCCAACCTGAGCCATCCAAACTGACCTGTCCACCCTAAGCGGTCCAACCTGAGCTGTCCAACCTGAGCTGTCCAACCTGAGCCGTCCAACCTGAGCCGTCCAACCTGACCTGTCCAACCTGACCTGTCCACCCTAAGCCGTCCAACATGACATGTCCAACATGACCTGTCCAACCTGAGCCGTCCAACCTGAGGCGTCCAACCTGAGCCGTCCAACATGACCTGTCCAACCTGAGCCGTCCAACCTGAGCCGTCCAACCTGAGCCCCTAACTCCTATTTGGGATAATCCAGATTTTTGCCCAGGCCTGGCCCCCTCTTTTCCTGCCAAATGGTCACCTCGAGGCAAGACTTTTTTTCCCATCTGAGACCTTTCAGGGATAGCCAAACGTTACTAGATATGGGATCACAAGACTGCCGAGAGTTGCCGCTATGGTCGTACTTACAGATTCGTCACTTCTTGAAGGCCCCTATACTTCTAGATCTCTCACACCTCTGGAATCCCTTCTTGTTTCCAAAACACCTCAACGACATTTGATTTCTGCCCTGTATCAACTTGTCCTTACTCCTTCTGAACCAATACTCGACCATCTGAAACCTACGTGAGAAAGGGACTTAGACCCAGTGGTGTATTTTGGTTTTGTGCTGCCCTAGGCAAGACTAAACTCGGGCACCCCCCAATCTACTTAGACCTCAGATTTTCAGGCCTGGAATGGTGGGAGAACATTCACACACTCACATCTAAAGGCGCGATCAATGCTCACACACGGGATAATAGCTTTAAGATCCGCACTAGGTGGCATCGAGTCCCTCATGTGTTGCACAAACTTTTCCCAACATGTGATAATCACTGTGGGAGATGCCGTGAGGAGGTCGGAACCTTCTCACATGTATGGTGGCCCTACTGCAAACCATCACTGGATACACTATGACCCTCACATCTGCCCTAGCTTTATGACATCACAAGTCTTCCCCTCACAAATACAGAAACCCTACTAATCTACAACTCTATAGCCCCTCTATCTCCTCGTGGACCCTCCCCATCCCCAGCCTATATCTGAAAGCTTCCTAACTCAATTGGTCCCATGTATGTCCTCCTAGCATTGTTCCCGGTTGTAGACTTTGGATGGACCTCTGTTCCCCACCTCTATACCTTTAGTCCTCTTGCCAGGGGTGGTACACAATCCGGTGAAGAAGTGCCCAATCCGGTGCCCAGCAACGGCAGGTAAGAGAAGCTGCGTGTGCAGGGAAGGGAACTCTGACCAGCCCACCTGAAAGTGACCCTGCAGAGCCCACCATAGAGAGTCTCAGGTGGGCTGTGCAGGGTCACTCTCAGGTGCGCTCTGTTGGGATTCAGGCGGGTCCCGAGTCCAGTGCATTACTAAGTCCAGAGTCCAGTGACTGTGGGAGGACATTAGAGTGTAAGCTCCTCTGTACAGAGACTGATGTGACTGGCTCAGTGATCTCTGTACAGCGCTGCGGTATATGTCAGAGCTATATACATGTATAATAATAGAGTGTGACTGTGGGGGGACATTAGAGTGTAAGCTCCTCTCTACAGAGACTGATGTGACTGTGGGGGGAGGGGACATTAGAGTGTAAGCTCCTCTCTACAGAGACTGATGTGACTGTGGGGGGAGGGGACATTAGAGTGTAAGCTCCTCTGTACAGAGACTGATGTGACTGGCTCAGTGATCTCTGTACAGCGCTGCGGTATATGTCAGAGCTATATACATGTATAATAATAGAGTGTGACTGTGGGGGGACATTAGAGTGTAAGCTCCTCTGTACAGAGACTGATGTGACTGTGGGGGGAGGGGACATTAGAGTGTAAGCTCCTCTGTACAGAGACTGATGTGACTGTGGGGGGAGGGGACATTAGAGTGTAAGCTCCTCTGTACAGAGACTGATGTGACTGTGGGGGGAGGGGACATTAGAGTGTAAGCTCCTCTGTTGCAGAGACCGACGCGGGGGTTAGGGGTCGAAGATAAAATCTTGCACCGGGGCCCTTTGTTCCTTCGGTCCCCCACTACCTGATGCAGTACTCAGTACTCCTATATGTTACATATTCTTTTACATGTATGTTTGTCCCACTTCATAGCATGTGCAGCTCTCATCATGTCACTTCATATTGTTTTTGGGGATCTGTCCATTTCTCTTACCGCGTCATAAAACCTCTTTATGGAAGAAAAAGAAAATTGGGTGAATGTCGCCCACAATGTATTCACCCGTCTTGGTTCTGACCCGGGGAACAAAGCGAAGAATTGTATACAGTGAATAAAAAGACTCGGGGACGGGAAACAAGCTGCAATTAATCGCCTCCGGCGGCCTGAATTGGCGAGGTGATTACACGTGAATGGGAGAGATTGAAGTGGACGGTGGGGAGGAGTAGCCGCA